CTCGGACGCCGGTTTGACTGCAGTTCGGGTTACCGCTTAGCAGGGGATTTGCCCGAACGCTGTGCAACAGCGTAGGAAATACGGCGTTGCTGCGTCTAGGTTATAGCCGACCTGTGCGCCGTTGCAGGACTCAGCAAAGAGGGTCCAAATTGAAAGCCACATCTTTGGTTACTGTCCTTCGTATGCCAGGTTCCTTAGTACTTATAGAGAAGAGGATTTATGAATAGAAATAGACAGCGCATAATGTAAATCTAGATCTAGGAAATGACTTCAAATGTCATTTTTTTCCCATAGTTATATTATGGGATATAGTATATATTAATTGTTTTATACATACCTATATTCTTTATACATTATAAAAACATCTTTTTAGCACTGAGTTGCGCTACTGTTGCATTAGGATGGAGCTAGTATTATTGTGTGTTGGCACACGACAGCAGCTCTTTGCAGTTAGGCGTGTGTGCGTGTGTGAACATTTGGCTATAAACTGGTAAGTATTCAAATTTACAAATGCAGCAGTGAGGGGGCAGCCTGTTCTTTCAGATGGAGCCCAAAAGTCTGTAGAAGACAGAAATACACAAAACTGCCCCATTTTTTAAAGTTCCGATTGCTAAAAATGGAAACCTTGGGTATAAAGACTTTACTGGTACTGTTGAAAAATCATGCCCACCCATTTCAGCCAGCTTGGGTTAGCACGTGGATTTTGTGCCTTTCTTTCGGACGTGTCCCTTCGTGGGCTGTATCACAACAGAGAGATCTTCCGGGGAGGAAAACACGACAGGAAAGGAAAAATATTGTGTGTCCTCCAGGGCCTAAGGTCTTCCTGGTGGCTGCTGGCACGCGGCAGCCTCTCGAACCCCGCTCTGCTTGGGGCGGAGGTATTAACTCGCTGACGCTGCAGCGCCGCAACGCGGGGGCTCGGCAGTGAGTTATTTTAAACTCTTCCCCACTGCCCTTTCCCCAGAAGCGTTTGGCTCTTGTTGTATAAGTCACGTTTTCTGGACGTCACGTGCGCTGGAGGCCGTTTTGGTTACAGCGGCTCTGACACCACCCCCGGCCCAGGTCCTCCCCGTATCGCTCGTCTCCCGCGGGCTCGCGCTTGCTCTGCGCCTGTCTCCAACTCCAGAAGTATTCACCTTTCTCCAAGAAGTTGGACCTGGTTTTATAACTACCTCTGTGCTTTCCTAGGGCGATGACGTGGCCGGCACCGGCATCCCGGCCGGGGATCCATCCCTGCGGTACCCGAGGCGGCCGCGCTGAGCTGGGCAAGCACAGCTTGGAAATCCTTTCTTACCGCAAACGAGGTACTTCCCGGAGTGTCTGGTCCCCAAATTTATTTTCCTGTCAAGCAATCACATTTTCCTCGTGGCGCTTGAGTTGTTAATACCCACTGTCTGCCCAGCTTTCTCCAAACGAAGGCCTTCGGCTCGTTCAGGTTGGTATGTAAAGCTTTAGCGCTTGACTGAGAATTAATCTAAGACAGTGGCATTGTGTCATTTACTGGAACTAAAGCTTTTTTTTAAACCTTTATCTGACTGTGAAAGGCACTCTGAAATCTCCAGGGCTGAGGACAGCTAGAAGTGAGAAATGAACACCCCAAAGCCAAGAGCTCAGAGCAGGATCTCAGAAAACTTTGGCTATAGCCAAAGCGAGCTGCAGACTGGGATGCTTCACTTATTTACTTGAATGTCTGGACATTCAAGTGCATCCATGGATGGCTTTAACAGAACAGCTGTATTGGAAATTTGGAAATTGTTTCTTCATTTTCATGTTTTTCCTTTAAGGTTTTTTTTTTGTCTATTTTTATTCAGTATTCAGTGCTCGCCAGCTGCCTTTGACTCCACAAGAGAAGCTCAATGAACACTGTTTTCCACTCGCATCGTCTCTCCTTGCTAAATGCTGTTGCCGTTCCCATACTTTCATGGCCGTGTAGCTGGTACTCTACACGCGGTGCCACTCACGGCTCTACTGTTAGACTTTTGGCAAGAGCAGGTTAGGTTTTATAGGAGTGAGAAGGCAAGAGTGAGAGAGAGACTCTGAACCAAAGACAGTATAAAAGGCCTTTTTTTTTGGAGTAGAAGCCCAACAAAATGATTAAGTAGCTCAAAGGGAATAGAAAACTCTAGGCAAGATGCTGAGCTGGGAGACATCCCACTCCAGTGGTTATTTGGCGCTTGTTGTAGCCCAGCTGTATTCAGGAGCTCACCTCTTTCCTCCCACCCCTGAGTAATGCACTTTTTCACTTCACTTTAGTTGTTTTCCTGTGCTGTCCAGTTTGGTGACTCTCTTTCAGATGGGCTGGATTCACTGTTACCCTTAAATCCAGATCAGCTGTCTGCCGAGTAACCATAGCCCTCCTGCAGCCAGGATTTACGGGCTCAAGGCAGGGACTGCTTGGTTAGAGCCTTCTGCAATGCAGAAGTCTGGGGCAGAAAATAACTCTCTAGTTCTTCAGCCTGGGAAGCAAAGGAAAGGAATCAAAAAGTCACATCCTGTGGTTTAGAGCTCGGGAATATAAGAAAAAAATCACCCCTGAAAACGAATCGCCTAATCCCTGCGATGTGGATGTATCCCACCTAATAGTAGGTGGCGAACAGCTCGGGTCGGGCGGCCGGTGCCTGCGGCTCCTGCAGGCGTATGGGAGCAGAGGGCTCCTGCGGCGGCCAAATTGCCTCCCTCCTTCCCACCACCTCGTGGGGGCAACCTGGCTCCCAGCGTTGGCATCTCAGTCCTGGCGTCGGGGTTGCCAAGGGAGGGGCTAGGCTCCAGGGAGCAGAAATTTGCTTTCTAAACTAAAAAAGGACTTAGAAAGTTGAACCGTGAACGTCAATTTTACCCAAATCCTATTCAATTGGAGCTGCTGGAGCTTTATGGCATGCGAGTTCCTGAAGGCAACAGGGAGAGGTGAAGAGCTGTGAAATTCTGAGAAGCTGGGATTTGACTCCAAACTTTATCGCAGGCCTCTGCGTCTGCAGCCGCCAGACCAGCGGCTTCTTGATGTGAAATCCCAAACTCGGAACGCGTCCGCCTCGCAGTGCTGATGGCCGGTTGCGCTGCCAGGAACAGGCTCACTTTGTGCGAGTGCAGAAACAGCAGACGGCGGACGGGGGGCAATGGAAAACAAGGTGAGGTCCTGTCCGTTTCCCGTTTTAAAACCAGTACAGGCTTCACTAGACAGAAAGTACGGTTTGCTCCTTTGCTCACTCTACAAAGACAGTGTCAAAGAGATGTTGGCAGCTTGGGGGATTGCTAATGGTCCACAAGATTGTTGTATGTCTGGATTGCTGGTTCCTGTCCAGACCGGGCTGTTTGTGGCTGCGTGTCTCCAGCACCCCCAGAAACCTCCGGCCACCGCTGCAACGCATTAGCTCCTGCAAAGCTGAGGTGGGCCAAGAGCAGGCGGGTGAGGAACTAGGGAAGGCCAAGTCCCTCATCCTGCTGCTAAAGTATCTCCATTTCTGTTTCCCATCCTTCTCTCCAGCACATCCTTTCCACTCTTTTTTTTCTTTAGACTCTTTCTGGCTTGCTTAAACTGATTTGTTTTTTTTCAACCAGCTGGAGCAGTTTTGCACGTTCATGAAAGTACAGTGAACAAGAAGGTCCATCAGTCCCACCGTGGGGTTTGCAGCTGAGCACGGCGGCGTAATCATCACCTTCTGCATCTGCACCCTGCCTCTGCCACAGGTGGGCTTGCAAACTGCCAGGCTACCAACTCAGGCGAGCCTATTTGCTTCCTTAAATATAAAATACCTGGCCACTACACATAAGAAGCCAAAAATACCTCACTAACCATGGCTTACAACAAGGTTTGGGTTTGACTCAAGTACATTAAAATTGTTCTTGGCTTCAGACACAGTCCTTTATAAAGGATTGGAAAGAAATGCTCCTGGATAGCCTAACTTAAGCACAGCTTCAGTACAAGTTTGGATGCATTGATGAAAAGTGCAGTTAATAACAATTGTCATTTAGAGCATCACATAAAAAACATGTCGAAAGCTCTAAAAAAAAGAGAGAAGACAGCTATACTGGGATTTTTTTCAAGGTTTTGTCAGACTTCTCTTAATGAGGGCAGCCTCTCCTGAATTAGGCCCTAACGACTTCAGTGGAAGCACTGTAATTGGTTTCACTTTGGAAAGGGCTGTTTTGGCTGTTACAGCAGGAGTGATGATTACAGCAGTGTTTATAACCCAGCTGTGATGGGGGCTCTGTTGTTGCCCCATGGGCTCATTTCCTGTTCCCACTTCTGTCTGCAGACAACTGGCTGATGCAGTTGCTTTCCCGGGAGGTTTCCATGCTACGTATGAGAATGGAAAGTAGTTACAACAGGTAAAATATTTCAAAAGTATTTAGGTTCTGGCTCTATGCCATGCATTGTGTGTCCTGATGATTCCTCAAGTGCTCTATGCTTACTGCCATGGGAGGGACAGTTATGGCTTTGGGGAATTGCTGGTGGTGAGGAAAAGATCCAAGAACTGTCTGAGCAAGCAGAGTAGAAATCTCTTGGATAAACAGGAATTTTATTCATCATAAGTTTTAAAGATCCATTGTGTGGGGTGGATTTCCTCACCCGGGAAAAAGGACCCTGCTGGATGCAGGAAGGACTAGAGATCAGCCAGGCAGTTCCCAGTATGCTGGTTGCTTTATGAATTGCACCAAGGTGAGGATGCAGTCTGCAGCTACCATCCTCCTGTTTAGCCTAAGAGGGTGTCTCGTGTGTCTGGCTGTCTGTGATCTGTGTCTGGGCCATGTGCCACCTCTGGCCCCTTTGCGTGTCAGTGCTAGCAGAGCAGCCAAGAATCTACTTGCTTTTTGCCTTAAATAGTCTCAAAAAAACCAGGTCTGGTATTGCAGTTCAGGCAATTGGACAAGTCTCTCTTTCTTCTATTTGCTTGGAAAATAAAAACCTTGCCCAGGTGACCTTGCTGTGTGTCCCAGGAGAGGCTGTTTCTGGGCCTGCTGGAGCCAGGGCCACCCGGCTGGTAATGCTGCTCCGTCTGGGGACAGATTTCCCTCCGGAGGAATCTCTCCTTACCCGGCTTATTGCTGGCTGAGACCTTTGCTCTTGCATAAATCCCCTTAACTCTGCTCAAGGTGGATTTACCAGCGTGTCCTCAGCTCCCCTGGGCTTCAGGGAAGGCAGCAAACCTGCCCAGGGTGGACGAAATCCACAGCGGGGTTTTACAGCAGGGCTCCAGGGACGAGCGTGGGGTGGGCTGCAGCGGGGGACGCCCGGGGCTGAGCCCCGCAGGGAAGTGCAAAGCCCACCTGTGCGTCCTCACAGAGGGAGCTAATAAACGACTGGGGAAAGGATACGCTAAATACGGGGTAGGTAACTTTGTGCGTATCCGCAGGAAGCGTGGGGCTGGTTCCAGTACGGGTTTAGGGTAAGCTACTGATCCTACCTCTAGCAATAGGATTAGCTGCTGAATGAAACATTCATCAGTCAGGTTTTACCCTTTATAAGTGGAATTTGTGGTATGAAGTGTGACCAAAACTGCAGGAATTAATTTAACCAATGCCCATAGTCACCATCTCCTTCTCTCTGCCAGGACCTGAGAACACAGTTGTTCCAGCTAGATTTCCTTAGGTAAAATAAAGGAGTGTGAACATAAGACTTCAGCGATTTACTGGAGGGATATCACGGGTGGCAAGGGTGACGAGTTCCCAGCTGAAAAAATGACGGTGATCCACAGCAGGAGCGTCGCGAAAACGTGACGTTAAAAAAATTGCATCCGGTCGCAGGAGGGAGGCGAAGGGTGGTTCTCGGTTACTGACCGTGGCCGGCGTTTAAGAGGTTTTCTCACCCTCCCTTCAAGGCAGCGTTTAAAAAACAAATGACCGTACCAGGGAAGGGTGCCTAGGTAAAGAGAGAGCGCCTTGCCCCACCGGTGGACCCTTCCCAGCCTCTAGGAGATGTATG